GTTGTCGGGTGTCGATATATTCCATAGGCCACTGACTATGATTGTTTACGCACCCGACAGCGACAAGCTCCGCGAGGGCGCGTGAACGATCGTCTTGCACCCTACTTTAAGCATTAACACCCGACAACAACAAGCTTCGTGAGAGGTGTCTAACCATGGCCTGTGGCCTCTGGGACGTAGCGACCCTTGATCCGGCCGAGGAGAATCGTTCACGCATCCCTCCGCGAGGGGTGTAATCTCTGAGCTTGTTGCTGAAGGGTGTTAAAACTTAAAGCAGGGCACGGGACAATCATTCACACACCACTTACGGAGCTTATTTCTGTCGAGTGTCGATAAATCGCATAGGCCACTGACGATCTTTGCATGAATTGATAAGTTTTAGCCACTCGCGGAGCCTATTTTCCAAGCGTAATTGTGACAGTTCCCCGAGTGTAAGATCCTTAGCTCCCCGAGCGTAAAAACAATCAAAGAGAGTACTATTAGTGATGTTGAATAAGTGAAATCTCAAACTTTCAGACGCTGTGAATTTAAAAAAAAAAATCTTTATTATTTTTGAGATTTTAAAAGTTAAGAATACAACAACAAGAACAACACTGCTATTGTCGGTCCCAAGCCCGAATGCGAAAAGTGGAGAGTTTTGTTAGGTAGTCGACAGCCAGCGTAAAACTTGTCAAAAAAATCATGACAAAAGTTAAGAATGGTCATACAAAACAATTATGGCAATGTTCCTTCTACACATAGGGTACCTTTAAGGGAATAATTTCTTCAGATCATCAGCACTCCAAGTTTGAGGGAGGTCGTTCCCTACGAATGTCTTCAGTTTGTATGCTCAGGTCCAGTTCTCCGGTGGATGATATTGGGGTCATTCTAGGTTTGATCCAGCTTCTCGATAGCTTAACCCCTGGCGACGGGATCGACCTTCTTCAGCATTAGGTTTCCTTATGGCAAACGTCTCTTCGTGTACGTGTTTGTTAAAATATTTGGTTGTCCTTCGCTTAACCTTTTCTAACCGGAGGGCTGCGTTGGCTCGATTCTCCTCGGCCAGATCTAGGGCGAGTCTGGCTCCTTCATCGTTCGCCTCAAGCCACTCTCCTGGATCTTCTTTGTTAAAAGCTGAGGCGCTGTAATAGTTGTATTCGACCGGTAACATGACTTTCATTATGTGGGATAACATAAAGTGTGTCTATTGGTGGACATGAACTGTGTTGTTCGGATCACCTAAATTACCGAAGGGATAAGAACTGTCCATTTGTCATTTGCTCCTTCTACCTTTTCCCTTAGCAAATTTAGAATGATTTTGTTTGTAGCCTTTGTCTATCCGTTAGTTCGAGAATGGTGTATGGAAGCAAATTTGATGTTGATCCTTTGGCTCTTACAGAAATCTTAAACTCCTTTGTTTGCGAATTGGGTTTCAAATTTGTAACTATGACGAGAGGTAATCCGTATCGACAAATTAGGTCAGTCCATATGAAGTTCCGAATTACTTCGGTCGTTGTGTGTGTCGGGGGCTTTGCTTCTACCCACTTAGAGAAATAGTCGACGACCATCAGTAAAAACTTTCGTTGTCCTTTTGACGGGGAGAAAGGTACCATAATGTCGAGGCCCCATATGGCGGACGACCATGGACTAACAATCAAGTTGAGTTTTTGGGCCAACTGATGGCGCAATAGTTTGTTTTTCTGACATTGTGTACACTTTCAGGAATATTCTTCGGCATCTTTGAGCAAATTCGACCAAAAGTAACCTTGTCGTTGGATTCAGTGAGCTAGCGTCTTTCCCCCAAAATGGCTCCCACACACCCCGCCATGAGCTTCTCAAAGTATGTCTTCAGCCTAGTGTTCGGCAATGCACTTTAGGTATAAGGACATAGCCGACTTCCTAAAGAGTTTCCCTTGGCCTAGTAGGTATCGGGCAGCCTTATATTTGAATCTCCTACGATCTATGACTTCTTTGTCGATCTCCCCCAATGCTCAAGTACCGGACGTATGAGCTCAACCATTTTTTTTTCTCCTGATGTATCTCTATTGTTAGTGGTTCTTAGATCGAGGGTCGATCGAGTCTTCTAGGTGGCCCTTCTCCTAGATGAAGACTCGAGGTCAACAACTTGATTTTCCTCCCTTCAAACATGTTTGATTTTGAAGTTGGTAAAGCGACTAGTTTTTGTCTTTACCTTCTCTAGGTACTTCGCTATAGTCTTATCCCTGGCTTCAAATTCCCCGTTGATCTGATTCACTATGACTTGTGAATCAGCATTTACCGTCATGTGGAGGACTATCATCTCAGAGGCCAGGCGAAGTTCTGCAATCAAAGCCTAATATTCCGCTTGGTTGTTAGTTAATGAAAAATTTACATCAATTGAATGGCAGAAGTTTTCCCCTACGGGTATGCACAAGAAAACTTCAAGTCCATCACTTGATTGGTTGGATCCCCCATCAGTAAATATGGTCCAGATCAATCTATCGATCACCAGATCCTTGTTTGCCCCTCTCAGTTCGGAGAAACCTACAATGAAATCTGCAATAGCTTGTGTTTTTATTACCGTTCGGAGAATATATGAGATTAAACTCGTTGAGTTCCACTGCCCATTTGAGTAGTGGGCAGGAGTGCTCTGGTTTGGTAAGAATAGATTTTAATGGATGATCTGTGATAACTTGTATGGGGTGTACCTGAAAATATGGTCAAAGCCTCCATGCTGAAATGGCTAAGGTGAAGGTCAGTCTCTTTATTATTGGAAATCGGAGTTCGGTGCTTTTGAGAACCCGGCCGGTGTAGTACGCTGAATGCTGCTTCGCTAGTTCTTCTCTGACCAAGACAAAACTGAAGACTTTGGGACCGACCCCAAGGTAAAGATAAAGTTTTTCCTTCAGTTTCGGGCTCTGAAGGAGGGGAGGAGAAGCGAGGAACTGCTTGAGGTTCCTAAATGCCTCTTCATATTCCGGTGTCTATTCGAAACATTTGGCTCTTCTGAGTACTATAAAGAATGGGGCACACTTATCACATGACTTAGAGACGAATCTGCTAAAATTTGTGATCCGAACAGTTAGCTTATGGACTTCCTTGGTGTTTTTAGAGGAGGGCATATCAAGGAGTGCTTAAATCTTTTTCGGGTTGGCCTTTATGCCTTCAGGGGTTAGCAAATATCCCAAGGTTCACTTCAATGGGTTTAATTTCATGTTAAACTTTCTAAGAGTTGGAAATGTTTCTTTTAAATCCTAGATATATTGTTTGGCCGACCGACTCTTAACTAGTACAACATCTATATACACCTCAATGTTCCTTCATTTTTTATTAGCAAAGATTACATCTATGAGACGTTGGTAAGTCACCCTGACATTTTTAAGCCCAAAGGGCATTATATTATAATAAAAAATTCCCTCACAAGTAATAAAAGCCGTCTTTCCGCGTCATTTGAGTGCATCTTGATCTGATGGTATTCAAAGAATGCATCAAGGAAGCTTATGACGGGGTGGCCGATCGGCGAATCCACTAGGGCATCGATCCTCGGTAGAGGGTAAGAGTCATTTGGACAAGCAGAGTTCAGGTTGGTAAACTTCATACATCCTCCATTTTCTGTTAGCCTTTTGCACCATCACCACGTAAGAGACCCAGGTGGGGTATTATACTTCCCGAATGTACCACGATTCCTCCAGCTTTCATATTTCCTCTCGAATGGGTCCCGCCAATGTCATGGCTTAGCTTCTAATCTTCTGCTTCATAGGTTGAGTCGATGGATCGACGTTCAATTTGTGGCACGCGGCATCTCAGCAGTCGTCCAAGCAAAAACATCTTGATTTTCCCGGAGAGTTTGGATCAGAAACTCCCTGTGACCTGCATCAAAAGCTTCACTTATCAGAAAACATCTAATTGATTCTCCTTCGACCGCCGAAACCTCACGGTTGGTCCCGTTGGTCTCGAGGCTACCTTCCCTTGCATTTTGGATGTCCAAAGAATCATGCTCACGTTGCTTATAGCTCGCAAGCAGCAAATCCAGGACTGCGACAGGTCACCCCTGATCATGATAATTTCTCCATCTTCAAGAAACTTGACAGCAACATAGTAATTGGAGACCACTGTTTTGAAACTATTCAGCAGCGATCAGTCGAAGGGGGTGAATACACCACGAAGAAATCTCCAGTGAGCATAAATTGTTTCTCGTTTTCTCCCCAACTTACCAGGAGCCCGACCACTCCCAAAGAAGAACTCTATTCATGGCAGTCTGATCCTCCGAGAGAGGCTCCACTACGGTATTCCAATTGATCTTAACAACAACCCCAAGGGTGCATAACGTTAAATGACTCCCAAAATAGCATAATCACCAATGGATTCATTTAGTAGATCATTCCCAGTATCGTCACCATCACAATCTCGATAAAGACGTTAATTCCCAAGAAAGGTAGCCCCACTGAGGTTCTTTGGTGTGAGATTGTATGAATGTCACATCCTCTCAGGCACAACATCGAATGTTCCTAGGTGTTAGATTCCACCCCGCCTATGGGTAACCTCTAAAAACACTTTCACTGCAGATTGGGTCGAATGATAAGGAAATAGAACAGTGGAGAAAATTTTCAGCACATAAAAACTGCAGTATAACAATAAAATTTCCCCCATCATGATCACCGATAATTAATAAAGGAATCGAACAAGGGTTTTGCGCAGGAAAACTAGGAAAGAGGGATCGTCACAATAGATACGGGAGGGGAAGAAGATGATCAACGACGAGAAAGCTGGCGTAATAGAAGTTGACAAAATAGCGCCAAGAACTGCAAGACAAAGAGTGGCAATTAAATCCGAGCCAACAGTATTTCTTAAATATTGCTTTAAGATCGTAATTTAGTAAATCAAACCTTGGGATAATCCGTATCAGTTTGCGCAAGAAAACTTTAGGTAGAATTTAGCATAATTTTGCTTAAATTCCGAGTTGACGAAGAATATAACTGACTGGAAGAAATCTAACAGCAAAAAGGTGGTAAGAGAAGTCAATGCCGATCGATAATTCTCACCATCAATTGTTCCTTCCTGAGCCGCGCAAACAACCATTGCTCGGCGAACAGGCTTCGTGAAGTCCGCGACCATGTCTGACCTGAACCTCCTTTGACGCAAAACCCGAGATCTTCCATGCCCGGCTGCACTTGAAATGGGAATGATCGCCGATCTTGAGGAAGAAGAACAATATGCCGCCACTGTAGAAACAGAGAGGGGAGACGCAATTGATCCAAGAACTTGAGCGGCCATTTGTTGAGAATCAACGATCAGAGGATACTGCATCCAGTTCCTCACTTCAGGGATGAATCTCAGATCTTAATTAGTAATGCTGCTGAAAGGTTGAAAAGTGCATTTACGTTCATACCACTAAAGTTTTACGTATTTACTTCAAAAACCTAAAAATATATTTCCATTCATATAACTTAAAATTTTAAACATGAAATCAAAATTATCAGCTTTAAGAACAGTGTTAAAATTCTAACATTAAACTTTAGATATAATTTATATAAATACAACAAATTTATGTGGTATTCATGTAAATCCTTAAATAAAATATAGTTAATTTATTCACAAGTTATGAATTTGAATTAATCAGAAACTAAACGACCTAGTAATGCTCTGGAAACGGAAAAAATATTACATCAGTATTACGTACGTAGAAGTAACGTGCGTAGTCAATGAAATCACGCCACGACATCCCACGCGATAGGAAAAAAACGACACAGTAACACGGGGAATATTCTCTCCTGTGTTATTTATGTGTTATTCTTGTGTTATTGTGTATTATTCATGTGTTATTGATGTGTTATTATGTTATTAGTTATTATGTTATTATAACACCTTATTATAACACCAAAAATATTCTCAAGACATAATAACACATGAATAACACACAATAACACATTAATAACACAGGGAATATTCCCGACAGAAAAAAAAAAGCGGCGCAATAACATAGGAGAATATTCTCCCTCGTGTTATTCATGTGTTATAGTGTTATTATAACACCAGGAGTATTCTCATGACACAATAACAGATTAATAACACACAATAACACATGAATAATACGGGAGGGAATATTACTCGTGTTACTGCGCAGTTTTTTTTTCTGTCGCACGGGGTGTCGTGAAGTGATTCCATTAACTACGCATGTTATTCTAGACGTGTAGTATTGATGTAATATTTTTTCGTAAAAACTAGGCTCGTAATGATGATGTAATATTTTTTCGTGAAAACACCACCAATTGTGCTGCTTCGTTGATTGCAGAGCATCGAATAACTTCAATGGCGTCAAATCTAACCACGAGTGAATCGGAACCAATAATTAAATGGAACATTTACATGCATAACTCATAATTCTTGTCTATTTGCATGGCTCACATCTAAACTTTTCAATTAACATTCATAACATTCAAAAATTTAAATTCACATGAAAAACATTATACTTACTAATATTATAAAAATAAACTTGCATTTTTATGCACGGGTTTATAATATTAAAATATTTTAAATGTAAAAATTATATCTTAGAAGTTATCATGTAACACGGATCTCATGTCACGACACGACTTTCAAATAAAAAATATTCAAAGTTCAATTGAAAATTTTCAAGAACTCTGATTTCAAAAAGCTTAAAATAAAACTGATCGGCTCGACGATAATGACTTAATGATATTAAAAATGGTCTGATCTGAATTAAATCAAGTCACAATAAAGCCAATAAATCATTTTTAAAATATTTAAGTACATATTTGGAAGCTTAAACAAACTCCAAAACTAACAAGCCTATAATCAAATCGGGCGTCTAGATAAGACGAATCCAACGAACTCAAGCTCGCTCAATTCTGACATCATTAAGGCACTCAAATGCTCATTGAACGGCGTTCGATCAAGAGAATCTTTTTAGATTGTTCAATGAAGTGGTTTAAATTCATTCATTATTTGCAGAGAGGCTTTTGCTTCAGCTAGGAAGTTGAAGGCTAGAGAATGAGATGAAATTCTGCATCGCAAGTCTAACAAATACCTCTCACTTTTGCAGTCGTCAACTACTATTGACCACCATCTACTGGCCACCGTCAATCACTCCCCTGACCCGTTGCATTGAAACCCTTTACAAAATCACAACGTGCATTGTGGAACCACATCAAACAGCACAAGGTAAAAAGGCATCATGCAAAATAAAGCGTCTCATATGTGGTGCAATGACAGCTCCTAAATAGGGTGTAACAATGCACCCTACATGCGGTGCAATGACCCTCACGAAAATTTATGTTTCTCATACACTTATCCCTCGTGTTCACATATCATGTGAACAGATGGCTCGTCACCGAGTCAATCCATAGTGTAATTCCCTCCAACGGGAGTTACATCCTTTCACTTCCTACGGCACCACTTTGGAGTCGTAGGCACCCTTCCGGGTTATTACCTCCATGATAAACCCATTATTTGGGTCGCTAACTCTACGACATGCTCACCCTTTTAGGTCACTTCCTCCATGACACACTTATTTCTTTGGGTTCTCCATGGCACACTCAACCTTTCGGGTCATGACCTTCATGTCATACCCATTCCTCTGGGTCACTGCCTCTTTGACGTGCTCATTCTTCTGGGTCACTGCCTCTACGACACACTCATTCCTTTGGGCTACCACCTCTATGACACATTCGCTCTTGAGTCACTACCTCCACAACACATTCCTCACCAATTATATAACAGGATCCTTTGAATTTGCATTTGTATGTGTGTATGGATAGCGAGTCAGGCTCGATAAGCGAGTCATTATGTGTTGGTTGCGATGTCTTAACGAGTATTGCTTGTCGAGTCAATCGATCTCAATGGCTTGACTGGGCACCTAGCCCAATCGACTGCTTCCATCGACTCGACCGATCAACTGTCACCGGCCCAGTTGACCAATCACTTTGGCCAAGTTGGCTATCTTAACTCAACTGAGCCCGTTGGCCACATTACCCCGAGTCGACCACATCGGTCAACCCAGCAGGTCAAACAGCCAATCTCACTTGCATAATGTGTGTTTTACATGTGCATGAGTATTGATTGCATGACTTTGCATTAGCACAATCATCACTTGCACCCTTGTCATGCATCTTTGAGTGTATATCCTCATATGCAAGTGACAAGTACTTGTGCCCCCCAACGACACATTACTCCACATTTGCTCGTGGCATCCTCATGTCACTTAGCACCATGTCATAAGTGGTTCGCACTTGCACCTCCCACCTTCGTGTGATTTCTTGCATAGCACCCTGCATGTTTCATGACTTGTGCATTTACATGTGTTGCACTTAGATTTATGTTTCTCATGCACTTATCCCTCGCGTTCACATATCATGAGAACATATGGCTCGTCACCGAGCCAATCTGTAGTGTAATTCCCTCTAACGGAAATCTCATCCTTACACTTCCTATGACATCGCTCTGGACCGTCGTAGGCACCCTTCTGGGTCATTGCCTCAAAGACAAACCCATTCTTTGGGCCGCTGCCTCTACGGTATGCTCACTCTTTCGAGTCACCGCCTCCAAGACACACTCATTTCTTTGAGCCACTGCCTCCATGGCATGCCTACTCTTTCGATTCACTGCCTCCACGGCACACTCATTCATTTGGTCCACTGCCTCCACGACACACCCACCATTCTGAGTCACTACCTCCACGGGACACCCATTCCTTGGGGTTGTTGCCTCTACGACATGCCCACCCTTTCGGGTCGCAACCTCCATGGCACACCCATCCTTTGGGCCGCTGACTCTACGGCACGCCCACTCTTCTGGGTCACTGCCTCTACAACACGCCTTTTTTCTTTGGAATGTAACCTCTACGGCACGTCCGCTACCGAGTCACTGCCTCTACGACACGCTCCTTGTCACTTCTAGCACATAATTGTTTGCATTTACATTTGTATGTGTGTATGGATAGTGAGTCAGACTTAATAGTCGAGTGACCCCATGATGGTCGTGATGTCTTAACGAGCATTACTTGTCGGTTCGATCCAGGTGAGCAATGTGAGTTAAAGCATCGGGATTAATATGAGTATGACTGTGCTAAGCATCCAATGGATCTAACTCGTGTCACCTTGCATGTTATAGGTCTGCATTTAATGACCCTTATTTTAAAGTATATATATATATATATATATATATATTGCGTTTTGGGCTGCATTTAATGACCCTTATTTTATAGTATATATATATATATATATATATATATATTGCGTTTTGGGCCAGGGCTAGGTTGCAAGGTAGTATTTTCAACGCCTCTTGCTTCTATTCTCTACGTGTATGTTTATGTTTTTTAGTGTGATTGCATGCTTAATATGCATGGTAGTATATTATGACATTCTTTTGCAGGGAATCATGTTTATATACATGCACACTCACAAGTACCATTAAAGGGGGGCATATGATTATTTCTACTAACATTTTTCTTGCAGGTGCTATTTAGCTCTCCCGATAAAAAGGTACGGCTCATCCTATGTTGCATGTTTGTTGGTTTTCTCACTAATATTGTTGTCATGCAATTTGAGTCCCATTTTTTTCTCTTTTTTCTCTATATTTTTAAAGTTCTAAGAGAGTCTTGTATTAGAAATAAGATAGGGCCAAAATTCTAAGGCACCGGGCAGACGAAACCACGTGCAAGAACCAAGAGCTGCTTGCTCTTGTCCCGTACCTTAATTCCAAATATCATTCATGTATAGAATTAAGATCAGACGTGTACTTATGCAGAGTCTAGCCGCCTTTTTCTTTTTTATGATATGTCACCGACTCAGCAGCACAAACCTCTTATTATTATACTTGGCTTGTTCTACTATTTTTCCTACATGATTGTGCGCTTTGGTTGTTTCCCTTGTTTCTTTCTGTTTGTATCTCAAATGCTACAAAATTGCAATTTAGGTTTTTCAGGACCTTAAAATTATAGTTTTTTTTTACAAAAATCCTAATAAAAATTTCAATATTAATTAAAGTTTAGGATTAAGAGATTCAAGTCTTTCAAAACCTACTTTTGCTTTCTTCCATGGCCTTTGAGTCAGTTTTAAAATGGGTTGCATGCATTGACATATCCTAAGTTATACTAATAGGGTCTCCACAATATCTAAGATCGTGCTAGATAACTTCATCATTTTTCATGTCCGGAGGAGAAGTCTTTGTGCTTCTTCAACCCGATTGGCCCAATATAGATTTTTACTTGGGTGGTTGTTTGGTGCACATAGGTCATCAGAGGCTCCCTGACCTAAATGGGGTGTAAGCCTTTTATTAAGAGTGTTTACATATTTATAGTTGAACCTCCCTTTCTCTTCTCTTTCCAGCCACATCCTTGCCACTTCGGCGGGTATAAGCCC